CCAGTACCAATTAAAAAATAAAAAACAGTACTGGCGAGGTTGTGAGGAAAAACAAACCCTTCTACATGGCTGCTTGGAATATAAATTAGTATGACTATAGAAATTGGTGGAGATTCCTCAAAAACTAAAAATACAAATTCCTTTTGACCCAGCTATACCTCATTTGGACAGCTTCCCAAAAGAGTTAAAGACATATTACAGTGGTACCTGCATACCCATATTTACAGCAGTATATCTCATAATTGCTAAATCCTAGACATAGCCTATAGACCCATCAACAGACAGATGAATAAAAGAAAATGTTGTGAAGTACTGCACAATGGAGTACTACTCTGCCATAAAAGATTAATTTGAGCCATTTATAAGAAAATGGATCCACCTTGAGACTACAATGCTAAGAGAAATAAATCAGACACAGGCATAGTTTTCCTTACATGAGAAACCCAATATATATATATATATTTTGGGGGGGGTACTGGGGATCAAACTTGGGTCCTTGCGCTTGTGAAGCAGCCACTGGAATCACTGAGTTAAATCCTCAGCCCAAGATATATATAATTTAAAGAGCAAAATAAAAGATACATGTTAGGAAACAGGGAGATAAGACTTTGTTCTAGGTTTCTGGGGATGGTGGGGAAGGAGGGGGAAGGTGAGGTAAAAATGATTGAGATGTGCTAACTATATGTAACAATTCTCTAAGATGAATGTAATTATTACATATTGTGAACATATTAACCCCCCCAAGATAGCCTATGTTCAACTTAATTTACTTTTAAAAAGCCAAAAATGGCTTTAGTATAATTCTTATTAAAATAAGACTGCACGGGGACTGGGGATTTAACGCAGTGGCCCTGTGCCCACAAGGTCCTGAGTTTGACCCCTGGTACCAAAAATAAATAAATTAATAAATAAGTCTGTATGAATGACTACACCTGGTATTCTTCTTAATAAGTTTATGCCTCAGAATCAGATTTATATGGTAGATATGATTCTGATGATGCCTCATTTAGTTTCTGTTCCTACATGCTCTTTGACTATAAATAGCTCATTATGGGAATTACAATTTTAACAGTTAATGATATCCATTTTTTATACACAAAGACCCTAAAAAAAAGTTAACTGCTTTATCTAGTATTTAAATGAATTATCAGTTATATGATTTCAATGCAGGGGCAAAAATTGGCTGTGTATTCTTACTGACATAGAACAAAGGCCTGTAGTAAAGAGGCTTAAGAACTTTTCAAGGGAAATCTTTTTTTTTTTCAGCTTTAATTGAGTTTATTGGTAAATTTTAGGATACAGTATAGTTACATTCATTGTTGGGATGTTGTACCTCTACATGACAGGTCTTGGTTCTCATTTTTTCCCCTTGTCCCTGCCCTCCCTTCACCCCCGCCTCCCCTCCCCATTTACAAACACTTTATTTCCATCTTTTCTTTATTCACATTTTTTTCTTTTCCCTTATTACCCTTCCCCTACCCATCCTACCTTCCCTACACGTTTAGCCCCTTTCTTCCCATTTCACAATGTCAGTAATCTTATTAGGATCTTATGTATTATTGCAGTTTATTCACACCAGAGAAACTATTTGGTATTTACACGTGTGACTTATTTATTTCACTTAGGAGTATATCTTCAATTATGTATCCATTTTCCTATGAATGAATCTATTTTCTCGTTCTTTATGGCTGAGTAGTATTCCATTTTATAGAAAAACCACATCTTATTTCTCCAGTTTCCAACTGATGGGCAAATGGGCTGTTTCCAAGTTTTAGCTATTACAAACTGTGCCGCTATAAACATGGGTGTGCATACGTCACTGTGATATGATTCTTTTAGTTCTTTTGGAAAGATACCCAGCAGAGGGATGGCTGGGTCAAATGGAACCTCCAGTCCAAGCTTTTCAAGGGAAATCTTGACAAGGCAATGAATATTATTACATTTAAACTGGATATGCAAAAGAATAATTTTTCAGGAAATGTACAGCCACTGAAGGATTTTGTCTGTTGTTCCTAAAGATTTTTACAGAGTGGAATAAAAATCCTACTCAGGATATTCTTTTTTTGGGGGGGGGGCGTACCAGGGATCAAGCTCAGGTCCTTGCGCTTGTGAGGCAGGCGACAGAATCACTGAGCTAAATCCCCGGCCCCTACTCGGGATATTCTAAATGATCAAAGTTGGCGAGTGCATGAACGAGATGGGATCATTCAAAGTTTCATTAAATTGGTAATACATATATATTGAGTGTTATTTTATTTAGGGACAAATTATGTCTGTGTTAGCTACCAGAGACATGAAAACTTGTATAACGTATCTGTTCCCAATATTCTTAGTGTAAATAGAAGGTAACAGACACATACAAATAAATATACTGATAAGTTTCATAGGTGCCAAAGAAGTCAGTACATAATTAGGAAGACAAAGGAGGGATGTGAGGGCCATCGGGCTGTGACATCTGTCACACATTCATTTCCAGGGTGGATTCTGCTGATTTGGTTGGCTAGGTGGGGTCCCCTCCTCCCTCACCACTCCATGTACATCCCTCCCGAAGCTGTGTGCTTGGTCGAAGAGGACGGCTAACCCTGAGAGAGGAACATTTTCCTCCGTCAAGGTATAGGAGTAGCTGCACTCTCCTGCTAGAACCTCCAAACAAGCTCTCAAGGAATACAAATGAGGGAGGTCAGGAAAAGGTTTAAAGATTGTAGGGTTTGGTTTTTGTTTTTTGGTACTAAGGATCAAACTCAGGACCTGGTGCTTGCGAGGCAGGTGGCGGCACCATTGAGCTAAATCCCTGACTTAAGATTATAAAATAAAATAACATATAGTGCTCAGAACAGTGCAAATAAATACATATTATTAATTATTTTTAGTAGTGGTGGTATGGTGGGGTCAGGAAATGGAAAAATAAGCAAAATAATAAGTGTTTTCATGAAGAACTCACATACTTTCATCTATATTGAAACAAGAAGGGGTTCTTTCTCCTCTCCATGGCCTCAGTTAAGCTTTCTGTTTCAGAGATAGTATTCTCCAACCTTTTCCTTCACCTTATTGCCAAAATGAGTATGAACAGGAAGGTTAATATTTAAAGAGAATACACCACTAGCTGCAAAGAGTTTAAAAGTATAAGCTCAGATTAGTAGTGCTTCCAGCTGCTGCTCAGAAAGATGGACTGAAATTATTCAAGAGGTCCCTTTTTTTGGCGGGGGGCAGTGGGGATCAAACTTGGCTCCTTGTGCTAGTGAGGCAGGCAGCAGAATCACTGAGCTAAATCCCCAACCCTCAAGAGGTCTTTTAACAAGCAAACTGAAGCAATCAAAAGCATAGCCTTGTGGGTGTGTTTATGTGTGTGTGTGGGGGGAGTTGGTGGTGGGGAATGGAAAGTCACTGCTAATGGTATGGAATTTCTTTTGGGGTGATATACATTTACAGGTCTTTTCTTTAAAAAGCAAGCTGAAGCAGCCGGGCGTGGTGGGGCACACTTTTAATCCCAGCACTCAGGAGGCTGAGGCAGGAGGATCGCTGTGAGTTCAGACTAGCCTGGGCTACATAGTGAGTTCCAGGTCAGTCTCAAATACATAGTGAGACCCTGTCTCAAACACATCCCCCCCAAAAAAGAAAAAAAGCAAAAAAAAGCAAGCTGAAGTAATCACAAGCACAGTCGTGTGTGGGGTGGGGGTGGGGGAGGTGAATGGATAGTCACTACTAATCAGTATGAAATATTTTGGGGAATGATATGCATTTTTTATATACAAAGATCCTAAAATGTTTTAGAATTGTGATAACTGTGGTACAACTCTGAATATACTAAAAGCTATTGAATTGTACATTTTATTTATTTATTTTTGTACCGGGGATTGAATTCAGGACCTTGCACTTGTGAGGCAGGCAGTGGAAGAATTGTACATTTTAAATAGGTGGACTATGCCAGGTATGGTGGCATATGTCTGTCAGCCCAGCACTTGGGAGGCTGAGGCAAGAGGATCTCTGGAAGTTTAAATCCAGCCTGGGCTGGTTACATAGTAAGCTCAAAACCAGACTGGAGTACAAAGTGAGACCTTGTCTCAAAAAAAAAGTGAACTATGTGACATACAATATAGTTCAACTGAACTGTTATTTTAAAATTCAAGTGACTAATAAAAACAAAACAAAATAGCTACATTCCTACTTGACCTTTTCAGAAGACCCAGTTCTATTTTTGCTTCCTGAAAACATTTCCACCTTTCCTTCCAATAGATACTTGAAATCCATGTATTTCAAAGAGGCTCGTTGTTAAATGTGATGTGCCCGAATCTGTTTATCTATACCCTGGCTTGTAGTGCACAAGATGACACAAAGCTGGAAATGTCAACCTTGCTTTTCCTATGCCAATTTAGCCTTCAACTTGAAAGGCCAGTGCCATGTAATTCTCAAGCCCAAACCTGAGCAAAAACCCCCTTTAAGAAGGGTCTGTAACTGATGCAGTCTGGAGTACCCTCACTGGGGCTTCACTAGATTATAGCCTCTTGATCAGCCTCAACTAGGTCATCCTGTAGAACTAAGACAGTGATTTCAACCCCATAAGCTTGCTTGGCTAGGGCTGATTATTTCTCTAGTGATTAGGCTCTATCTACTGTGTTTTTAGCAATATGTAGGGCGCTCCCAAACTGGATAGACCATTTGCTGGCTTTCAGGTTGTGGCAATGCCTGGAAATTTTTACTATTCTACCCTTGTCCACATCTTGGAGAATACGTCTATGTCCAGTCCTCTTCTTTGGAGGTGGGAATTTAGAATGCTAACTACCTCACTTAGGGGCCAGTTCAATAGTCAGTTCAGCAATCCCTACATCCAGAAGTTCACTGGTTCTTTTTCTTTTCCATCTCTGGGAGTCTAATGATAAGATTTTAGCACATTCTACTATTAAGTTATGAAAGGGAGGTACGCAGCACAGCACTACAATGCTCAATAAATGCTAATACTTTTTTTTTCCTTCAGAGCAATCAATTTATACCTGTGTACTTACCTGATGTACACAGTCTAAGAATTGTAGGAAGACTGGAGCAAAACCACTACCCTGAGAGTTGAGGGTCAAGCTGCTCCGTTGACTGAATTTATGACCAAAAGAGAGCCACTCTTTTTCAACCAACATTCTGAAACCTTCAAGTGTCCTATAAAAGGGATCACTGAGTAACTGCACCAGGGAGGTCACCTAGGGCAAAACCAGGATAAATACACTTTATTAATTTCAGTCCTGAAAATGTTCTGCTTCTTAGATAAAAACATTTGCTTTTGATGATGGCTAATTCACAAGCGAAGTTAACTGGACAATAAATGCATTTACTAACTGGTCCAGGATGGCAAACAAATGGATTCTGCACTTTCCAGTAACAACTAAAATTCATTTTGGATACAAGTTTTCTTACTGACAAATTTGCTGAATGTGGCCTTTTTCTAGATTGATTAATGAAGTCTCAGAGGAACAGTTTAACTGTATCCTATTTTGATTAATGTGTTAATTTGTATTCATACTTTCCCTTTTCATTTTGGAGTTAATAAAGGAGGGACTTAGAGCCAGAGAAAAGACAGATAAAACCCAGCAAGGATGGTCCATGTCCAGCATTGCTGGCAAAGGGCTCCATCTGCAAGCTTTTACAGTGCATTGGTAGATGTGGGAACCTGACGCCCTGAACAAGAACTGCAGGCTTTGCAGGTGCTAACAGTGCAGGGAACATAGCTTCTTCATGGATACCAGGTGGTGTTTAACACAGGACTTTTTTTGTCCATAAGCATCCTACTCATACAAAAGATTCACCCACAGAATTAAAAAAAAAAAGGAAATACAAATATAAATGAAATATCTGAAAAACTATATAATAGTTTACTTGTGCAGTGATATCCCAGCCTTCTTCTAAACAGATCAAGACTGAGGAGCCATTCTCGAGTACTTCTGCCACCACCACAGCCAGCTGCATTATCCTATGAAGCTAAGAGATGGGAAAGGCGGTCACAATTAGACAAGCACCCTCTCAGCACAGAGGGCAGACAGCCTTGCTGTCATCAGCCTTGGATAATCAAACAAATTAAGGATGAAGCACTTATAAAAAGAACCATAAAGGTCTTGTGAAATCAAGATTAAAAAAATATTAAACAATGAGACATCTTAAAGGTAGATAAATAATTAAAAACAATGAAAACAATGTATTCAAATAATACATAATAAAATAAAATAAAATGACATTATAATGTTTTTTCCAAAAAGCACAGGGCTATAATTCCATCAAGCAGAAAAGAGATTTTAAGTGGCCTCCTCAATATAGTTACTGGACTTAAATTTTTTCCATGATGTAATACATTCTCTCAATTTTTCGGGTGGTTGTATAAAGTTGTAAGTATATGAAAAAGCAATGCATTGTATACTTTAATTTTTAAAAAAATTTTCTCGAGATAGGTTCTTACTCTGTGGTCTAGAATGGCTTTGAACTTGTGATCCTCCTGTGTCAGCCTCTGAAGTGCTGAGATTGCAGGTATAACTTACCATTCCTGTTTGCACTGTACACTTTAAAAGGATGATTTTTATAGTACTTGAATTGTATGTTAAGAAAAGATATTTGTCACTGTGTATTTACATTTGTGTTCAGCTTTTAAGCCAGGCCAAGTGACTCAAAGTCCTTAATGAGTAATTAATTAGGGTATAAACATAACATAGATTTCAAAACCAAACGTGTGTGATTCTAGTTTTAAAAAATATTTTGAGCCATATGATGGACTGTCCAGTATGAATCCAACTCTGAACTAAAAAAACCCCATATTTTGAACAGGTTATTTTAGGCAAAGGGGCAAGATACATGTCTTATCTTGCAGTGAGAATCTCCTCTCTAGCTATTCCTATAAAACTGCTATTACTAGGCCTGAATTCTCTTATGCTTATCATTGCTATATTTTGTTAACTTTTGTTTTGTTGTTGTGGCTGTTGAGACTGACCTGGAACTTACTATGTAGCCCAGGCTGGTCTCGAACTCACAGCAATCCTCCTGCCTCAGCCTCCCGAGGCTGGGATTACAGGCATGTGCCACCACACCCGGCTTATTTTGTTAACTTTTAAAATATCACTCTCCCAAGTAGGGAAATATTTGCCACTATTTTAATCTCTAATTGCTGGTACAGGCGCATTTGTCCAGCAAGAAGCAAAGCACAGAATATATTAGCAACACAGAGAGACAATAGTTGGGTGGTAGGGATGGTAAGGGCCTGGGGCTCATAATGTGGGGACAGAAGTTAAGTATTGCTAGCTCTTTCCATGGGTACTCAGAATATCATGATAATATAGTTATAACTAACTGCATATGTAGCTGTGTTCCTCTACAGTTTAAGTACCTTGAGAACAATCACTCCTAGGTACTGACATTGTTCCTTGGCTTCTTTGCCTTTTAGTCTTATATACTATAGAAAAACAACCCCTTTAAACCGGGCATGGTGGTGCATGCCTGTAATCCCAGCACTCAGGAGACTGAGACAGGAGGATTGCTGTGAGTTCGAGACCAGCCTGGGCTACATGGTGAGTTCCAGGTCAGTCTTAATTACATAGTGAGACCCTGTCTCAAAAAAGAAAAAAAAGAAAGAAAGAAAAGAAAAACAACCCCTTTTCCTCCTTAACAGAGGCTAGGTGCTTGGAGGAGGTAGATGGATCCAAAGTACTAAAAAACTGGAAATTCTTGCCAGCAGGAAAGAATAATGGACATAGCCTTAGGGACTGAAAGAAAAGCTTAAATTATATTGCAGAGATGCTATTGGCCAAAAGTCTGCATCAGTGTCATAAATATATTTCTTTCTGTGGAAAGCACATTTCGTGTGCTGGCATAACTATTTCCTCTTTTTTTTTTTTTTTTGTACCAGGGATCAAACTCAGATCCTTGTGCTTGAGAGACGGGTGACAGAAACAATGAGCCAAATTCCCGGCCCCCTATTTCCTCTTAATTCTCAGTAAAAGCTCAATTAACAATATTCTAAGGTTGACCAAATTGAATGTTTGAGGCATTCAATGTACTTTTTGGTAGTGGTATGATTATAAAATCTAGAGACATGGAACAGGCAGAGATAAACAAAAGGTGAGAGAGGGAGAGAGAAAGGCTCTTAGTCATGCAAAAATTGCCTTTCTTATATCCTGGATCCTTACTGTCTTGACAACAAAACTGGAGCTCTATAAATACATGCTGATTAAATTTATACATAAAATTTTCATACAAAATAATTTTCTCATTAGCGTCTTTTAGACACTAAACTTTCAATTATACAGAAATAAAAACTCAGTCATCAAGAATTCTACCTTTTCACCTCTTACACAGTATTGCTTCCTGAAATTGAATGACCTTAACAGAAAGCATACAACAATGGAGAGTGTGGAATAGGGAGGAATAAAACATCTTCTTCTCAAATACTGTATTGATTCTATATCTCCACTTGGCCCCTTCTTAAAGCTATGAGACAAACTTCTTGAGACATTACCTGTGGGAACCACTCAGAGTCTCCCAGGGCCTTTAGGAAGGTTATTTCTGAGTCAGTAGGGATGGTGCTTGGGATACAAGCCCTCATCAGCTTTTTAAAACTGGCTTTCACTTGTCGGATTTCATGAAATTCAACAGGAACAAATTCACAATTTAAAGCAAATTCTACCTTGAAGCTCTGTGGATGAAGATGAAGAAAATTAGGCATATGAAGTGCTTTGGTGAAAAGCAAAAGTTTTCAACAGAGCAGTGCTTAATGGTACATACAGTTAATGAGACCAGATAGTTGCAAAGACTTCAATGGTGTCAAGAAAGCCAGTGCTGTATGGCTCATGTGTCAGTAGGCTCTAAGGCTAGTGATGTGCCTCTCCTCTCTAGAGTATGTTACGAATCTGAGGAATGCTGTCACTCTAAGAACCTAATGAGACTACCAGTAGGCTGGAACGTGGCACAGCTTATACCACCACACATAAGCCAATCAAAGGCCATGAACTTAGAGGTTTAAGGAGTAGCCAATCACACATGGGATAGCAGGGTTAATCTAACTGCATAAACTTGGTCTTTGCAAGAGGGACACTGTAATTAAATGGTAATACAATGGGGTTCCAGAACTGTACATATTAGATTTTGCAGACATACATACATTTGTTGATTAGGCAGGTAAAATATATTCATTGTAAAAATTAAAAAAAGGTAAACACTGAAAAAGATAAAAATTACTATCTCACTGCCCTAAAACTACTGAATGTTGTGGTTATTTTTTTAAAAGTCGGTAATAAAAAATTATATACAATAAAATATGCAAGACTTTTAATTTCTCTCTTTGGGATTTTCACTCACTATGAAACATGTATCATGTATGTAAACACGTATGTTTATTTGATACTTTTTTCATTTACATCTTTAATCCATATGGAATTTATATTTTTGAGGTATGAGCTGTTGCATTTATAATGAAAGAATGTTATACTGGCCCAGTGGTGTATTTCATTTGGATAATCTGGTTGCCTAGATCTGAAGAAGATTTAAGTCTTCTAACTTCTCATACCAAAGAATGAATTAATTTTGCTTCTTTTTACTTTCTTCACCTTCTGCTCAAATTAATCTATTGGATCATCTGCTTTTCAAAAATTAAACTGCTTTCTGGAGATTGGTTTTATTTTAATTTTAATTTTTTATTTTTTTGGTACCAGGGATCGAACTTGGGACCTTGCATTTATGAGGCAGATGATGGAACCAATGAGGTGAATCCCTGGTGAGACTCGTTTTAAAATGATGTGAGCATACTTAATAATATTAAATTGTACCCAACATAGTTAGGATGGTAAATTTTGTTGTGTATTTTACTTACAATTTAAAAAATCCTGCTCCTAGACAGTCTATTTAATGTTTTATATTACTTATCTTGGAGCTTAAAGGTCTATCAAAAATTTAAATGAAAAGAAAAACTCCTACATTATTATTATTATTATTATTATTATTATTATTATTATTATTATTATTATTATTATTTTGTTGTTGTTGTTGTTGTTGCTGGGGATCGAACTCGGGCCCTTGCGCTTGTGAAGCAGACGGTAGAACCACTGAGCCAAATCCCTGTCCTTCCTACATTGTTTTTTAAAAGACAGGATTTCTAATATGTATCAGGAAAAAAAAAGTTTCTTCATCTTAAGGCATTTGTCTTCATGATATTTTAAAGAAGCTACTCTATAGAATAATCTAAAAAAAAAAGCTTGCCTATGAAGTATTAGCCTCCCCCAAAGAAATAATCTAAAATACAGAGAAAGAACCCTATAGAGTTATACCTTAAACCCCCCACCCCAATCCTATATGCTTGGAAATGTGACTGCAATTTTACATATAGAAAATAAAGAAACCTAAGCAGCCGGCACTATTAGATGGTAAAATAGTGACTGAAATAATTATGATGACTATTGTACAACATAGAGTCATGATGTTAAGGCTTGGTATAAAGAATCTAGCAGTATATATGAGTTCCTCTGTTTAGTTTTTCATCTTAGATAAAAGATAGCTTGTTTCCAGGAAACACAGATTCCTTTCTATTTTCCAACTATTTGTAAAATAGATATGCCTAGTTTTTTTTTTTTTAATTGGTACCAGGGATTGAACTCAGGACCTCGCACTTGCCAGGCAGATGTTGTGCCGCTGAGCCATGTCCCCAGCCCTGAGTGCTTATCTTAGAAGCCAAGAATTATTAAGCATAGTGATAAGAGACACTGTTGGTTATAAGGGTTTTGTTACTATTAATGGTTATGAATTTAAAAAGGAGAGGAGGACAAATTCAAGATTCTTTTGGATAAGCCATTGTCTCTTATTGGCTTTCTTTTATGCTTCCTTTGTTGGGAGGACACAAAGATGTGGAATTATAGCTGGACAGCACGTTAGCTAGAATGTGGCACACATAAGGCAGGGAGCCATACACTACAGACAAAACTGAATTAAGGAAGGGTCCTAAGTGGTCTTTCTTGCTATGCACAATCATGTAGCTGACCTGAAGACTGATGGGTGAAAGGAATATCAGAGGTGAACATTCTGGAGGCAAACCTCAGGGAATGATTCAGAGCATGTGCAGACTCGCGTTGCTCTTGAAAAGAGCTCCAGCTATTTTCTGGATATAAAATGGTCTGTTGTATCAGAGGACATGTATGCAGTAGTTTAATGCCCTCTGCCCTACAGGTTGGTGATTCCATGATGACAGCAGCTTAGAAACCAGCAAAGGGCTACAATGCCAGTATGCACAGAGGATATGACTCAGTCACTGGTATCTCTCTCGCTTTTTTTTTTTTTTTTTTTTTTTTTTGGTTTTTTGAGACAGGGTCTCACTGTGTAGTTGAGATTGACCTGGGACTCACTATGTAGCCCAGGCTGGCCTCGAACTTACAGCGATCCTCCTGACTCAGCCTCCTGAGTGCTGGGATTACAGGAGAGCGCCATCATGCCCAACAGTCACTGGCATCTTAAGAGCCAAGCATGTGGAATCCTGTGAGAGCACCTTGCCTAAAGTTTCTCCTGTACAGTTCAGCCAGAGGCCTGTCTAGATTGTCAGTGGTAAATGCTGAGTGGTAAATGTCCGGAGTTCAATCCTCCGTACAAAAAAGAAAAAAAAAGCAATACGTTCAATACATACATACTTGTGAGTAGTGATACAGTTTATTTTCTAATGTGTGACTGGAAAACAAACTCAAGGCATTACTGCTGCTTCTGGAGATGCAGACTATCTTTACAGTTTATGAGACCTCAGTATGTTGAAGCTTCTTAACATAATATAGTAAGTATAAGGTTTATTAGCACGTAATATTTTGATTTTCTGACATATTTTAGGACATGGGTCTACAGATGCAACCTTGAAAAGTTTGAAAACACATTACTTAGAAAAACTAGCTTAGGCCTTCCCTTGCCTCCACAGATGGTGCCATATTCTTCCTCTCTCCACCCTTCTACCTCCCTGTGGTCTTCCATATGGATAGGTTCATAACAAAATCATCTGTTTTGCCATGGGCTTAGGTACCTGTGGAAACTGAATCAAGATAGTGGAAAACAAGCCTGAATAAGCTCTATTTCTTTTTTGTACTTCTTAATACTAATGATATTTATGCTAATTGTTAAGATTATGAATAAATGTTTTACTGCCTAGTAAATATGCACACACATAGGTAGATAAAGAGAAGTAACTTTTTTTTAGATTAACTTCAGGTTAATTACACTATAAAAAATTTCTGGGAAAAGTGGCTTGTGACAGGTTTTATAAACTGTCTCAGTATATCCCTAAAGTTTCTAAGTGGTAGAAAAACAACTTACCCTTAGTTGTGACTTTTCACCAAATATATAAAGGGCTGCTTGGCGTTTCAAGAGCTGATTTTGTAGGTAGGTGCTATTACTGAAGGATGTTGAGTGATCTTTGCCTGCCAGCCGGGTGCCAACATCAATGAAGGATGTTGGAGAGCTGATCAAGCGAGTGCTGGAGCGAAGACTTGCCCACACACCTTCATAAAAGTCAGAAGAATCAAGTTGAGACAAGCTGATGCAGGAATGGCATGGATAAAGAAAAAAACGCATGTTCTGGATCTACAGTTTTAGAGGTAATAGGGAGTTAAGTGATCATGAATCACAATGATCATTTTCCATCTATTTTTGTAACAAGCATTATTCAATATAGAATTTCAAAATCACCTTTGAATCAGAAGGATGTAGGAAGTCAATAATATCCCATTTTAAAATGTTGATCTAACTTCAGTACTTATAAGTGCATATTGAAATCATAAATAGAAAGAGGGTACTGTCACAAAATAAAAAATGCAGGCAAGAAGCAATAATGAAGCCAGAGAGTTAGAACACTAAGTAAGTCAATTTCTCAGGGCTTCAAGAGAGAAGTAAGGAACATTTTCCTGCCTTCTTAGTTAATTCAACAAGAAATTTAGTCTAACATGTAAGCTAGAAACTTACTAAATGTAAAATTGAAAGCTGGAGTTAGAACATATATATCACGCCAATGATGTAACTTTAAGTGCATAAAGATTATGTTACAGCTTTTTCCAGTATCCATGAGAAATTATAAATTTAGTAATATGTATTTCATTGAATTACAGGAGGCTTTCTTTATAATATAGTCAGAAGCAGATGTATTCTAAGGGAAGAGCCAAGCCAAACAGCTAGAAGAGTCTTGTGATGTAAGGTGACTTTATTTCTTTCAGAAAAATCAAGGATTTCTATTTACAAGGGAAATCATTAAATATGAAACATCCAACCCATAAGCATATGTTAATTTTCAAATTTGACTAGAACGGGAGCACCCTCAAACAAGAAAGCCCTTCAGAAATTCTGTAGACTGAGATGTTCATACCAGTGGCAGGGACACAGGGTGGAGGGCTAGTGGGTTTTCTTCTCTAGGTATAGAAAGGCTATTTGAGAAAATCATTGCCTAATGAAATCAAGACATGTTTCTAGGTGACTGGTCACATCTGCTTCTTTATGGGGTTAAGGGGCCAGTTTCCAAGAAAAGGTTTCATAGGTGATTTCTGTCTAAAATAAATGTATTTTTCTATATAATTCTATATGTTTTTCATAGGTATTATGACAAATTGTTTATTTGTAAATGGAACCACAGGAAATTCAGAATGTGGATGAGGATAAAGGATATAATTTGACAAACGTAAAAAAAGTCACTTGTAACATACTTTTATATGAAGATGGTTTAAAAGAGTGACACATCAGGACACTTAATACAGTACCTTGATTATGGATTCTTCCCTTAGCTGAAGATTTGGGATTTGACTGAGTAAAACATTTATCTCTGTGCTCATGCACTGGTAGGCAAGATTAAAGACAGAGGAGAAATGAAATGCATACAGTAGCAAACAGCAGAGCAGGTTGAGTAAGAGAAAAAGACTATTTAATTTTTAAGATTGTTAACAGAGAGAAAATGTAAACATAATTAAAGTAGATTTAATTAACAAACAAAAAGCTGCACAGTCACAAAAAGATGAATTGAGTGCTTGTGAAATGAAATTCCAGCACCTATTAAAAATACTGTAAGCACAGTGAAATGGAAAGCACAGCAGAGGGTGCCATTAAAAAATTATACCAAATGGAACAAGCTTTTGAAGATTGTCATTCAGTCAGAAATAAACTTATATAATAAAATTAAGAAATTTGGAGTGTGTGTGCAAATGGTAGGAATATACTGTCCCTAGTATTGAAGAGAATGACTGGCAAATGCTACGTGTTGTACAACACATTTGTTCTCTGAGAAAGATCATCACCAGGAAAGCTCTAGCAACCATTTGGAATAACTAAGGGTATACTTTTGCAGTAGAGCATTAAGTATTGCCACTGTATCTTCCTTCTTTCCTTTTTTATTTATAAATTATATTTATTTTTTATAAATATAAGCAACACAAATTCATGATCCTGTGACAATGCCTAATACCCCTAAGACAGCCAGCTGTGATGACTGAAGTAATGACCTCTCTTAAAACCCCTACTTACACCAAAATGATAAGCGGTATTAGAGATAATACTTTTGTAATTTGAGTAATATTCTTTTTTCCATTAGAAATAAGTTATTTTAAGACTATGGCAAACTTTACCTGTTAATAACAAAAATGCTGAGTAGTCACATCATTTCCTGAGCAAAAGAACTGCTTATGTAAATTAAGGGAAATGATTTTGCATTTATTCAGCACCACATGTTTTTTCTTTTTTTGCATTACAGGGGACTGAACCCAGAGGGTCTTGCACATGCCAGGAAAGCATTACTAAATAATACCCCCATCTCAATAACTAACTGTAATAGCAGTATTAATTAATCTGTGCAATGCAAAATTGCACCAAATATGACATACTGTGATTAAAAAAAAGTCTTTACAAGGGATTTTCAGTCCTACTTCCCTCCTTCGGAAGCAAGAAATGAAGAGTATTCATGGTTTTAGTGGCTAAAGGAAATCATAAAATAGGTGTTTCACAGAAGCTGGCTAATGGCATATAGAGAATGCAACTGCAAGACAGAACAAGGACCTGGGACTACACAGCAAAGGCACAAGGTCTCCCATGTGCTGAATGAGTGCTTTTCTTTGTGCTTTCTTACTGGAATGTGGGATACTGAGATAATTACAGTGAAGCTTCCGATTCTAAGAAACTTCCTTAAACATATCACACTTTCTTTTATTAGTCTTTGTCTGGAATAATTTCTCCCATTTCTTTATCTGGCAAACTCCCTAACCCTAAAGATTTATATGCTAGTTAATCTTTATTGTCAAGTCACCTTGACCCATTAATCCACTGTTGAGTTCATAGGTGAATGGGATATTAAGAGGTGGGCCTAACTGAAGGAAGAGCGTCATGGGAACATGACTGTGGACACTATATCTGATCCTTGGTCCCTTCTTCTGTGCTCTTTCCCTGCTTTCTGATTCCTGGGTGCCATGCCTCAAGCAGCTTTCCTTTGATGCCCTTTCCACCAGGATGTTCCTGACTTGGAGCCATTTGACCATGGACTGAAACCCCTGAAGCAAGGAGCCAAAATAAACCTCCTCTATTGGTAGTATTTTGTCCCAGCAATTGCAAAACTTATCAATACAATCCAGGTATAATGTGAACTACTTGGAAAGGTATTTCTAACTGTCCTGACTTACAGGGAGCTCTATTTAAACTCTGATCACACTGCATTGTGATTATTTGCACACTCAGTCTATACAACTGTGGTCTTATAAAAGCAAAGGCCTAGTCATACTTATTCTTGTATCCATGCTGACAGTCATACACATAGGCATTCAAAACATATGTTTAGTATTTTCCTTTTGGAAATGAATACATTGTGCCTGTTTCAAGTCTTTACTATATCAACTCAAATATTTTCACTGTAAGAGTGAAAAGAGGCATATTAAAAACATTAAGTATGTCCTGAAATAGAGAGTTATTAATGAAAAACTGTCAAGTGCTTATTGCTGAGTAGAAAAGCAGCAATAATAAAAATGGCTTGTACTGATATGGGGCCAGTATAGGGCTCTGAGAACTGGAATCCCATCTGGAAGTCATCTGACCAAAGGAATTTTACTACTGCATTGATGGTGGTAAGGGCTCTTTGGATTTCCTGAGTGATTCCTAGATGTCCTAGATATTTGACACCAGCAAAGGACAAGAGCAGTTTTTGTTCAAACTGTAGGATTTCCCTAGTGACTTGTGAAATCATCTTAGCAGATCAAATCACAATTTTCTTTTAAAAAGTGAGAGATTACAACTGAAAACACTGTGTGTACTTCATGGAGTATAGATGACTACTGTTTCATAAAATGTTCAGTATATATGCATTTTACAATGTGGCTCAGTACCACCTGAGCTGTGATATAAAATCACTACGAATGTATATACACAGATATTTTTGTGATTATTATTATTATTATTATTATTGGTACCAGGGATCGAACTCGAGTCCTTGTGCTTGCAAGGCAGGTGGTGGAACCACTGAGCTAAATCCCCATCCCTGAAACGTGTTTATTATTGTGAGTTATGATCCAAAAAGTTGCAAAGTTACTGGTCTACTTTCTTTTTTTTTGTTTTTTTGAGACAGGGTCTCATTATGTAGTTCAGACTGCTCTGGAACTCACTGTGTAGCCCAGGATGGTCTCGAACTCCCAGTGATCCTCCTGCATCAACCTCCTGAGTGCTGAGATTACAGGCATGCGCCACCACACCTGGCACTGGTCTACTTTCTATGGCCTAATATTAAGGAGGATCAGTGCAATGTAAGAGCAAATGGAGAATTTCTTTCCTTTCAGTAGGCAATAGTAACTAACATCTATGGAAGTCCTATCATAAGTGTATTAAGTGTTTATTAAGTATTTTATATATTATTTAATCTATTCCTCATAACTACCTAAAGCTAAGTATTATTATTATTTCCATTTCAAAGAGGAGTACACTGAGAAGTAAGAGGTTTCCTAATTTGTTTATTACTATACAGTAACTGGTGGGGTTACAATTTTAATTTGAATGTAACTGAAATAAAAATATATTTCAACCTATGAAATCACATCACCTTGGATATGTCCATTAGGGACTGGCTAAGGGGAGCACTTCAGTGAAGAAATGATGCAGTTCATTCCCCCATGGGAACACATATTGTTCAGATCATACATGCTTCTTAAGTACTAGTATTATTCCCTCCACTTTGTCTAGATCAAATAAAGGAGAGAAAGAAATGGGATACTTAGGTTGGACATGAGATTGGGATACTTTACTATCAATGTGATGCTACACCTAACTTAGTGCTTGAGACCCAAGATATATTCACTAAATAATGTTGCAGTGAATGCTACAACAATGAGCTAACTCCAGCCCCAGTTATAGGGCTAGTTGCTGTGTGATATCAACAAAGTCACTTGATCTCTCAGCTTCTTAATACACCTACCTTGAGGTTAATTCAAGAACAGAATAATACATATAGAGGAACTTAAGGGGTCATGAAGATGTAAAGGGTGGAAAATTAAAAAGCTGCCTCCATGTGACAGCTACATCATTGTATTTTTTTTTTTTTTTTTTGTACTGGAGATCAAACTTGGGTCCTTGCACTTGTGAGGCAGGCAGCAGAACCATTAAGCTAAATCCCTGGCCCCTACTTAATTGTATTTTTGATATTTAAGAGGCAGTATCAAATTTTCTCCTGGCACTTTTCTACTCAATAATGTAATTTCTCCAAGCTGTAAGTATATGTGTTTTCCCCATAAGGCTAAAAAGCTCTTTTAACTTTAAATGAAAAACCAAAATTGGGCCTTTTTATTGAGCTACATCACCTATCTGTCTATCTATCTGTGATCTTGCTAAGTCACTAAATTGCCCAGGCTACATTTGAACTTGTGATCCACTTGCCTCAGCCTCCTAAAGTGCTAGGATTACAGGCATGTGCCACTACATGTTGCCACACATCTCATTTTATAAGCTCTTGTGTAAAGCAGGATGTATCCCTCCCATATCAACTCATAAGTGTGTATGATGAATACAAAGTGATCCCTCTGGCTGAAAAATGGTGACAGTCAAGCTCATCAGAGCAGCAAACTCTGGCTCATCAGAGCAGAAAAGGTGCACAGTGAAAACATAAAAATAAAACTAAAAAGGTTGTATGGTAATGAAAGGAATGAAAAAAAAATATTTAAAATAGAAGAGAATACAGGCAAAGGTTAAGAGAGAGAAGACGCACGAAGTTCTTCCCATACAGAAAAAAGCAAATTTCTGGAGGAAGAGTACTCAGTTCTCTGGAAGAATGAAGAGCCCTATACTTGAAGGTAGGTACAAGAACATGAACTGCTTTCAGGGACCTGAAAGTGTTTGTACCTTTGGCTGATCTGGTAGGTAACCACTTTCCCTGACAAGAGTTCTCAACAAGAGAAATACCAGAAAACTTAGGAGAAATTGCTGTACTATCTTTTAGTTCAAATTCACTGAGAAGGAAATGATAAGAAGAATGAGGTTTGTATCTAAAATTTATAAAACAATACCATTGTAAAAGTTCAGAAAAAGGCTGTTGTATGACTGTTGTAAGTTGAATTATGTTCCCCAAAACTCATATGTTGAAGTCTTAACCTCTAGTAACTCAGAATGTGACCTTATTTGGAAGTAGGATTGTTATAAATGTAATTAGCTAAGGTTATACTGGAATACAGTGAGGCCCTAATTCAATATGACTGGTTCCTTTCTAAAAAGGGAAAATTTGGAGACAGATACAAAGGGAGAAAGTCATGTGAAGATGAAAGCAGAAATTTAGGTGAATATTACCTAAGCCAAAGAATGTCAAAGATTGCTAGCAAACCTCCAGAAGCTAGCAAGGAAACATGGAACAAATTCTAACAGTCCTCAGGAGAGCAATTTGCTGACAGCCTAATCTTGGACCACAGCTTGTAGAACAATGAAACTATTGTTTAAGACACCTAATTTGTCGCACTTTGTTATGGTAGCCCTAGGAAATTAATATGACCTCAACACCTGACAGATTAACTAGCAAGAGGACTTAAAAAAAAAAAAAACCCAAAAAACAAACCACCACCACCACCACCAACAAAACCAACCAAAACAAAACAAAACAAAAACCAACAAAACAAAACAAAAAACAAAACAAACTCCAGCAACTACAGAAAGTTCTAATGACACAGGGGGGAAAAAAGAACTACCTTGCACATGGTTCCCAAAAAGTAAAAAAGTGAATTTTATAAAACAGAGCTTTTATGTTGATTCTGAACCAAATTCTAGAATGAATTATTTTTTTCTAGAATGAGTTATTAATAGAATATTTATGATTACTTAGGAAAAAGCGCTGATTGAAATCATGTCAAAATAACCATAAAATCTTTTGTAATGCAGGTAATGATCTGAATTGATAATCTTAAATTAAAAAGATTAGTGGGGATTTATAAATATGGGCCAGATGAGTTTTATTAGGAAGACCCAAACCAGCATAGACCAGTAACTTTTTTTGGAGAGGCTGGTATTATTTTGCTATAAGCCTTTGTCCTCAATTCTGGCTTTTTCAATATTTTTAAAGCAATAAATCACACAAAAATAATGATCAACTCTATGGATGACAAGAGGCTTGCAAAAACAGTTAATACAGTGCTAGAAAGAAATGGGATCCAAAAGTATGGAACACTCCACATCTAAAAAACATCCCAGCACATGGTACAGCACATGGTAGTCCAATAACGACCCTCAAGGCCAGTATTTTAACAATAGTGAAGAACCTGTGAAGAAGAGACAGGGATTTCAGATGATGTTAATCTCGGCCTGGAGAACGCTGTGATGGGGCTATCCCCATGGAATCTTAGGCTGCATGAACAACTAGAGTTCTGGGACTGACTCTGTGAACAGTCCAGAGTGGTGAGGATGGCAAATGGATTACATCATTTGAATTGAAGAGAGAGTTAACTAAAGTTCTTAGAAATATGAGAATAATTTTTAAATACAAAGATCTAAGATATTGAAAATTATACTTAGTTTCCAACTTTGGAGGACAGAGCTAGAGTCAATATGCAAAAGTTATATAGTGATAGATTTTTAGGTCAAAGGAGAAAGAACTTTCTAACAAATAGAGATGCTTACATATGCAAAGGATTACTGTAAGGGAGAAATGAGTTTCCCATTACTAAGCAGAACCAAGTTTAAGGGAATTAAGAATTATTATAAAGGTGGAAACAAGAGGAAGAGTGCAAGATTCTGTAACTCCATTGTGAAGGAGGAGGACTTTATCATCGAGCTACCTAGTCTGGAATTTCCTCTAAGAGTGCATCTTTGATAAACTTCCAGAGATCAAAGTGGACCACCTTTTGAAGCATAAAATAGCCACTATTTAGTCTTTCTTTATATCCTCACACCAGCAGCCACAGTACGACCCAGAGGAAAAAAAGAGAAACCTAAGTATCATTCTATCTACTTTCTAAACTAGTTCGGAAAACAGGAGTTAAAACAATAGGTTTCGGAAGCATAGCTTTGGGTATGTTACCACTTTTTCTTAGCTGTTTACATTTCTTTTTTTTTTTTTTTTTGGTTTTTTGAGACAGGGTTTTACTATGTAGCTGAGACTGATCTGGAAGTCACTATGTAGTCTAGAACTCACAGTGATCCTCCAGTCTCAACCTCCCAAGTGCTGGGATTAGTTGTGCGCTACCACGCCTGGCTTAGCTGTTTATATTTCTGTGATCACATATTGTGGTCTGGATTTTAAATATCCCCAAAGCCTGAGTCAAGTATTGAAAGCTTGGTCACTAGTGTGGGTTGCTATTGGGAAATGGTGGAAACTTGGGGAGGTAAGCCTAGTGGAAGGAAGAGAGAGGTCATGGAGGGGTGTGCCTTTAAAGGGGACATTGGACTCTGGCCCCTTCCACTTTTCTCTTTGCTTTTTGGCTGCCATGAGGTGCAGTTTCCTACACCACATACTTCCCACCATTATTTTTCTGCCTCATCTCAGGCCTAAAGGTAAAAAGGCTGAGACCAAGGATTAAAACCTCTGAATCCATAAACTAGTAAGTCTTTCCTCTTTATGTAAGTTATTCCCCTCAGGTGTTTTGTCATGGTAATGGAAAGCTAACACATCAGTCTTCCTACCCTGTGAACCTGGAGAATCACGGAGTGCTCTCAGGGCTGATGTACCATTTAAACACACTCCTTTCATTCCTTACTCCTCCCAAACTCATCAATATGCAAGACATCAGCAGCGACTTTATTTATTGTCCCATCTGGCTAAAATCTTCTGCCATTATGCTAGTAATCTGATCATTCATTTAGAGAAGGGTAATTAAGAACAATATGAATCATAATTAGTTGATTTAAAAATATTCACTATCTAGAAAAATATTTTGCTTTTAAGGTTATCAGTGCTCATTTATAAAATCAATCTTACTAACCTCCTCGAGCAAAGCTATTGGATGGGTTTACATCCAAATGTCCTGGCACTACCTGCTTAAGCACAGTGGACATTCTTGAAGTCCTCCTTTCAGTCCCTAAAGTCAGCCAAAAAGAAGAACAAAAACCATGTTGTTTGGGTTAACATTACTCAAATGACAAAAAAGTTATCTTCACGTGTAGCACGTCTAATTGCTGCCAAACATTGTACTTTTTAAGTACCAAAGCTTTATTAGAGATAACAAGGTAATGTTATTATTTCATCAGAGATAACACACATTTGCAAGATTACAGAGTTAGGTTTGGCAAGTGCAATCAGAGAATTAATGATAAATGAAGCAAGGCATGCATGGTGTTACATTACAAGAAAAGCCACTCTCTGCTTATGTTGAGCTAATTCAAATAGCTGATTAAGCCAAAGAGACCAACTTCTCAAGTCACATGCTCCTGTGTCTAAAACATTAGGGTTACCTCTACATGAACCCTTTGGGGTTCCATCACATGATGACTGAAACAGAATATTAGTATAATCTTAATGGCTTCATCCAAATCTAGAGAAAACAAACTGTACTGCAAAATTATAAAAGACTACAGAAATTTTGAGAATTTCAAACTTGTACAAGATGATTTTAACAATTATACATTTAATAAACAGATGTTCAACTTATACATTCAACTTCATAATATTTTACAGTTTACATAAGACAACTTCTGGAGAAAAAAAGGGTGACTTTATGTTCCCTACCTCCTCTTTTCTTACTATTTTAAAAAGGAAATAATTACATTTCTAAATATTTACCAGACATTGATAATGGTGCTGATTTCTAAATAAGGTAAGACTTCTAAGGGGGATATGCAAACAACTAAGGAGACCAATCCAGGGTTGGGTCAGGCCTTTTGGAACAGTTGTCAGAAAGGAAAGCATTACTGAATCTTACCTGGAGACAGAGCAAGTGCTGGCCTGACAGTAAGGGTGTTGTTGCTTCTGAGTTTCTGATGGACAGAAACTGCATTCAGTAAGGCTTGCAAGTACTTTTCTTGTTCTATGCTACTGGAAGATTCTAAAGAGGAGGTAGGAGCTATAAAGGAAAAGATACTGAATGAAAGAACTTGTCTTTGTTAAAAAACAAGCTTCTATATATATTTGTTAATACTTTATTCAATCTCATGTTACCACACCCAAACAGAGAAGCCAGTCCCACTTAAAGTCCCAAATCAATTAAGTGAATAATTCTAACATGCTGGCTTTACCACACCTACTTAATTGCTTCATCATTCTCCCAGAAGATCCCAGAGGTCTAGAAAACTAGCCCTGGTTAACCTTCCAAGCACAGGTATGGCTTCTCTTTATAGAAGAAACTCGACATGAAGGTTCACAATGTCTCTTTGGTGATCTCTCCCCCAACAATCTGCCCATGCTACCAGGAGCAGAGAACAGAGTGGATTCCCCTGGTATCCCAGAATGGGTGGAGGTGAGACTTTCCCGATACCAGAAACTTTCTTCCACTGTGTCACATTAGGCCTAATGGGGAACATGAGCTTATGGAGGTTTGTTGAGGGAAGAGTAGAGGAAAAGTAGAGTAAGATAGGGAAAAGGTAGGGCCAGGGATTTAGCTCAGTGGTACCGTGACTGCCTTGCAAGTGTGAGGTCCTGAGTTCAATCCCTGGTACAAAAAAAAAAAGTGACAGGGAAAATATAGAGAAGATTACTACTAAATTCCCTAGTAATCTTTTTTTTTTTTTTTGAGACAGGGTCTCTCTATGTAGTTCAGACTGGCCTTCAATTCACTATGTAACCTAGGCTGGCCTGAAACTCCACGGTCTTGCCTTAGCCTCCCGAGTGCTGGGATTACAGGTGTGCACCACCATTCCTGGCTTCCCTAGTATTCCTAAAAGAGGGGAAAAAATGCACAGAATAGAAACAATTCTGAGAGCAAATTGGAGTTGGTGGGGATATGAACCTGGTTTGTGTGCAGCTAAAGAGAATCAATGAAATTGGGTCAGGCACTTTAAAGAGGCATGGGGGTAGACTCACATCTCTTATCACATGGGACAGAATCCCAACTTGCCTCTGAGGCTGTTAAACGTATCTGGATGCTTCCCAGAAAGGAAAAGATTAGTACAATCTAGTTTTCATCTGTGGATACGCCAATTTGCTGGAGTAAAATACCTAAATACTTTATCATACTAATATCTACTGAAATTAAAGTGTAGAATAGATGTATTAAGATGTCAAATTCAAGGTGGAACCCTAAACTGACAAATGTGGTTCTTGTTAAAACATGTTTTATGTTGAAAAGGCTTGATGAAAGGACACAGTTGGCATTTCCACCTTTTACATTTTATTTTTTAGGAAGATATTTTAAAAGACAAAGTCTCACGATGTTGCACAGGCTACCCACAAATTTCTGGGATGAAGCAATCCTCTGGCTTCAGTATCCCAAGTAGCAAGGACTATGGGTATGTGCCACCATGCCCACCTTACTTCTAGGAATACTCAAGTGAAAGTCATAATTGTGCTGTAGAGATGCTTACCTGCCTGAGGGGAGTTCTGAGATTTGAAAAGACCAACAACTCCTTTCCCATGGAATCCTCCAGATCGAAGGAGCAGAGTACCACTTCTTGAGCTCTTCCAACATACAACAGGCAAGCGATTGTGTCGATAGCAGCGGGCTACTCTTGGTAAACTACTGTCCTGTACAGCTTGAGGTATCACTAAAAGGCCAGGATAGCTTCATTGACATGGAAGGAAGAAAAGGAGTGATTGAGGGAGAAGGGTAAAGAAATGGGGAGAGAAGTGAGGAGGGGGAGAGAAATAAAAAAGGGGGGGTAGGAAGGTAGGAGGGGAGACAGAAAATAAGGGTATGAATAGCATAACATCACAGTAATTTCCTAAGACTCAGAAGCACATTGGTTGAGGGATAAGAAATATATTTTAAACATAGAACTTCATTGCAACTCCTTAGTTTTTCAGGAGTTAAAAGAAAAGGTGAAAATAGTTAACTCATCCACTGTTGTGCATTGTTTTTTGCAATGAGTCCCTCTGAGTTATGACTAATTTTTGCTGAATAACTAAAGCGTAGAAAATAAACATATTTCATTGAGTTATTTAAAAGGCTTCTGTAGAACTGCTTCTTTTGCCTTAGACACTACTTTTCATCAACTTAAAGATTGTAAGATTAGTGGATTCATGTCAACTTTATGAAAATGGTAAGTCAAATTGCCAACGACTCATAGATCACTGAAATGACAACAGAGAACAAAGCACACCCATATCAGACCACAGGAGATGGTGAAAGGTTAAAAATTAAAACCAAATGACTTGGTAGAAGAACAAAATGTTCAAATGTGAAAATGAGTCTCACTATTCTATTAATACTACATTTTGATGTTTAATTTTTCAAAAGATGATCATAAAATTATGGGATATAATGCTGGGAAAATAAAAAATGCAAGTTTTATAGATGTGTACACATCAGTGACATTAACTATATTCACAATGTTGAACAGCCATCACTAGCATCCGTTTTCAGAACTTCTAAATCCTTTATCTTGACATAAACCAGTGCTGAGAGGAGGGAGACGACCAAGCTGTGGACATAATTATTTATGAATCCTGGAAACAGAGTTCCATTTAGGATCCTTTATTTCTTTTCTTTTTCTTTCTTTCTTTTTTAAACTGGTTGTCAAATTGTGACTGTCTTTATAGGATCCTTTATTTCTAATACCATATTATTATTTCTTTCCCCCCAACTTGCTTCTAGACACAGCGATATTATATGTTAGACAAGGCTCCAGGAGCTGCTGTTTCAATTATCAGGGAAAGAACCCGTGCACTCCTCCACTCCCTGCCTCTTGGATGGGGCAGTCTTCTCCTCTCACTGCATGAATATCACAGGCCGCACTCTGCGACACCCCAGATCTTAGGCTTCCCCGCTGCCACATGTGGGACTATCATCTGGATGACCCCTGGTGCTGAGGCAAATGGTGCTGAAGATCAGCAGAGGCTGTTCTTGGTACAGTCTCACTGAGTAATGAGAGACACCAACTACCCTGCCACCACCCTACCCTACTGCCCACTGCCCGTAGAACCTTCAGCTCTAGCTCCAGAGTAAGCCCCAAGAGGTAGACTTTTCTTTAGAAGCTACTGTGGAAATCTGAATTGAAGAGTAACTCATATACAAATGCTCATGGCCAGGGAGTTACTCAGTGGTGATGCACCTGCCTCACAAAGATGAGGTTCTGAGTTTGATCCCTGGTACCAAGAAAAAAACCTACCAAAAACCAAAAAAACAAAAAACAAAAAACAAAAAAACCCCACAAATGCTCAAAACATAAACTATATTAGGAAAAGGATAATGGTATCAGCACTTAAGAAGATTTCTTATGTTTTTCTCCCAATTACTATTTTCCCTTTTCTTTAGAGATTATCACTCCTGGGCTGGGATTTAGCTCAGTGGTTCTGGTGCCTGCTTTGTAAGTGCAAGGACCCAAGTTCGATCCCCAGTACCAAAAAAATAAAAAAGTAGAGATTATCAGTACTGAATGCTAACAATACAGATAGATTTTCCTTATTTTTGAATTCTAGATAAAGAAACCAACAGAATTTATTCTTTTTTGTCTGGCTTTTGTTCAACATTTCTGAGATCTAGCCATGTTACTGTATATAGCTGTAGTTTGTTCACCTTAATGACTGCATAGTATACCACTATGTGATTATAATACCATTTATTTATCCTTCTGTGGTTGATTCTGAATAGTTTCTAGCTTTTGCTTACTAAGAATACTGTTGCAGCTGGGGATTTAGCTCAGTGGTTCCACTGCCTGCCTTGCAAGCGCAAGGACCTGAGTTTGATCCCTGGTACCAAAAAAATAAAATAAAATAAAAGAATACTGTTGCAGGAACTAGGAGTGTAGCTCTACTGTACAGTTTATGCTTAGCATATGTGAGATCCAGGGTTCAGTCCCTAGCACCACCAAACAAACAACAACTAGTAATATCAGGAACAATAATGTTGTTATGAACATTGCTGAAGATATCTTTTGGGAGCAGTATGTATATCTGCTGGAAATTCTATTCCACCTAAAGAGTAGAATTTTCAGGCAATATGTCATGAATATGTTCAGCAGATGTGTAAATGTTTAGTAGATGCTGCCAGACAACTTCCTGAAGTTGTTCACCAAATTCATAGCCCCATTTGCAATTAATGAGTCTACTTGCTCTACATCCTCACTAGCACTATGCATTGTTAGTCTTAAATGTCGGCCATTTTGACAGGTATACAATAGTCTCACTGGGATTTTAATTTCTGTCCATTTGAAGACTAACAAATTGAACATGTTTTCAGATATTTTCCCCACCAAAATATCCTTTTTTGTCTATTCAAGTCTCTTGCCAGTTTTTATTGTCTTTTTAGTCTTCTTGATATCTTTTTTTTCCATTTAAAAGTTAATGATATCTTCTGATGTATTTAATTTTTTTTATTGTCTTGCTTTGTAGTACAGGTTGGCCTTGAACTATGTAGCCCAGGTTGACCTCAAACTTGCAGTGATCCTCCTGCCTCAGCCTATCCAATGCTGGGATTACAGCTGTGTGTCATCATGGCTGGCTTCTGATCTTAATTTATCTAATTTTTTACTTTATGGACAATGCTTTTCCTGTCCACCTCCCCCGCCAAACCCAAAACACAAACCTTCCCTACTTCAATACATGGCATTCTTTGTCTTTTAGAAGCTTTATTGATTTTATCATTTACATAGTGATCTAAAGATCAACAGGAATTGATTTTTATGTGTTACAAGCTAGAGTCAAGATTAATCACTCCATGTATCTCCAGCACTGTTTACTGAAAACAGTAACTTCTATTCAGGATTTCCTTTTGTGCTGTACTAGTTGGTCTGTCTATCCTTGTGCTAAATGCATAGTATTTTAATCACTAACTTTATAAAAAGTCTTGATATACTGTAGTATTTATTATTTGTAAGGTATTCTGACTACTTTTGTCCTTTTGCATTTATATATGTCAGAATAATTTTTTAATTTCTGTAAAGATTTTGGTGGGATTTCAACTGAGCACTGAATCTGAAGATCAATTTCAGGAGAAGCTACAGTTATTAGAATGTTGAGTATTCTAATCTAAGAACATGAAACAGCTATTTATTTAGACATTTAATGATCTTAAATATTATTTTGAGTATTCATATAGAGCTCTTACATATCGTTTTGGGGGGTACCAGGGATCGAACTTGGCCCTTGTGCTTGCAAGGCAGGCAGCAGAACCACTGAGCCAAATCCCTGGCCCTGGATTTATTGTTTTGTATTTAATATTTCTTAGTGCTGTATAGTTTCAGTGGAACGTAAACAGCATCACTTTTAAAAATTTGATTTTTCTTTCAGGGATTTAGCTCAGTGGTTCCACCACCTGCCTTGCAAGTGCAAGGTCCCAAGTTCAATCCCTGGTATCCATCCCCCAAAAAAAGAGAATTAAAAATTTGATTTTTTAATGGGAAGAAAGGAGCTAAAGGTGTAGGGAAGGTGGGATGGGTAGGGGAAGAGTAAAAAGGGAAAAGAAAAAAATGTGAGAGAATGAAAAGATGAAAGTAAAGTGTTTGTAGATGGGGAGGGGAGGAGGGGGTGAAGGGAGGGCAGGGGTAAGGGGAAAAAATGAGAATCAAGACTTGCCATGTAGAGGTACATGATCCCAACAATGAATGTAACTGTACTGTATCCCTAAAATGTACCAATAAAGTCAATTAAAGCTGAAAAAAAAATTGATTTTTTTTAATGGTTTGGTTTTTGAATACATGTGACTATGTACCAAATTTACTTTTTAAGATTTTCTACATGTATGTGGAGCCCGCTGGCATTTGACATTGGAAAAGTAACTTCTTCTACCATTGAGGCATTGACACAGTCTATGACTCTATTTGGCTTTTCTGAGATGAGGGTCTCAGCTATGCAGATGAGATTGACCTGGAGCTCTCTGTAATCCAGGCTGAGCTCACTGTGTAATCCAGGCTGGGTTTATGAGATTACTGGTGTTGACCTGGAGCTCACTGTAATCCAGACTAGTTTTATGGGATTACGGGCGTGCACCACCACGCCCAGCTCAAGGACTTTGGTAAGTTTGACCTTTGATCTCCTCCCTAATATTGCTTGATGTTTCCTGTTGGCTTGCCTTTAAAAGGAGCTGTTTCTGTGTAATAAATCGGACCTCTTGTCTCCACACTATTGAGTGTGCTGTCCTTTCTCAATCCTCACTCCCCAACTCAGGTACGTTCGTGTTGTGATGGCCAGACCGCCACACATGTACATTCAGGTCATTTGTGAATAATGACAGTTTTATTTTCAACCTCTATCTCTTTTATTTTTGTAGCCCCACCCTTTTTGTAGTACTCAGGAATAAACAAAGGACCTTGTGCATACCAGGCAAGTGATCTACCAGAGCTATGCCCCCAGCAATTTGTTTTATTTAATTTTGAGATGGAGTCTGGTTAAATTTTCCAGGTTGGCTCTGAATTTGCAATCCTCCTGCCTCAACTCCCGAGTAATTGTGATTACAGGCCTGTGACATCATGCCTGTTTTTTTTTCTAGCCCTTTTGTGCTGTGTAGGACTTCAAGTACAACACTGAATAGAAGTGGTATGATAGTAGGGCTGGGTATTTAACTGAGTGGCACTGCACTTGCCTTGCAATTCAATCCCCAATACAGAAAAAAAAAAAAAGTGGGGATAGTGGGCATTCCTGTTTTGTTCTGTCTCAGTGAAAAATCTTTCATTATGCAATTTGAACATTAAGTAGTTTTAATGCAAGGTTTTACAGGAATTGAACTCAGGACCTTGAGCCTGCCAGGCAGGTACAGAGCCTCTGAGCTAAATCTCTGGCCCTTACTGCAAGATTTTTAAAACAGATACGAGATTAGGAGCTATCCCTTTCTTTCTAATTTTGATATAAATTCTTTTTTTTTTTTTGGTACTGAACTCAAGACCTTGTACTGATTTCTTTCCCCTCTCTCCATCCCTCCCTCTCTTTTTCCTTCCTTCTCTTCCTTCTTGTGGTTTTTAGGGATCAAACCAGGACTTTGTGAATGCCAGGGAAGAATTCTACTACTGAGACACATCTCCATGCTACCTTTCAAATATGTTCTGTATTTCTGTAATAAATTCTACTTGGTCTTAATTAATTCCTGTTATGAAATAAAGCTTTTGTAATCTTTCTGTATTACTAGTAATTTAAACATTTTAAATCTATTTTGATTTATATTTGATTTATATATATATTGGTGACAACAACTTCTGGTAGAGAAGATATAACAAGAAAGCCAGGTATGGCGAGACATGCCTATAGTCCTAGTACTCAGAAGACTGAGGCAGAAGGATCACTCGAGGCCAGGAGTTTGGGCCAAACTCAGCAGTTTTTTGTTTTTTGTTTTTTTTCTTACTAGGGATTGAACTCAGGTCCTTGCACTTGCAAGGCAGGCCATGGAACCCCTGAGCTAAATCCCCAGCCCCATCTTTTTATATCCTTGAAAGTAGCAAAAAGCTTAAAACACACCCACCCACCCTAATACCTTCTTTTAATTAGGACATTTAGCCAATGTACAATTAATATAATTATTATTTTACTTGCCTTTAAATCTACATATTGCTACTTATAATATATTTACCCTTTGTATTTTATGTCCCTCTTTCTTCTGAATTTATTATTCTACTTCTTTCTAAGAGTTGACATATATTATTGTACAGCACCATAAACAATTTTTTTTTTGTTTTTTGAGACAGGGTCTCACTATGTAGTTGAGACTGAATTGGAACTCACTATGTAGCCCAGGCTGGTCTTGAACTCAGGTGATCCTCCTGCCTCAGCCTCCCGAGTGCTGGGATTACAGGTGTGCGCCACCACACCCGGCTTACCATAAACAAATTATAACAAGTGTTGTAAGTCATCTACGAAGATTTTACTGACTGAGAAAGAGATTTTACTAACTGAAAAATAAATGTCAGTTTTCTGAAAGTCATAATTTGATAGCTAGCTTCCTAAACTGGACCACATTCCCTAATAACACCACTTATACTTATCTACAAAGATTTAGTGAGAACAGAAAATCCCTGAAAAATTACTACATGTTCAGAGTCCCAACTTTTCAATACTTCATGGAAAATATGCATTGGTCCACAATCTCAAACTATATTCCCAACTTATTTCTCAAGTTTCATACCAGTATTTATAAACAAATTGTCACTGAAAATGACATATGTATAGGTCTTTAGGAACAATAGGTATGAAACTAATAGTAACATTAAGATAACTTTCTAAAATATGAACAAAGCTTTCAATTTATGAAGTGCTTTTGAAGCTATTTAATTAAAGCAGGAATTTATAAATGCAAAGAAAAAAACTTATCTGGAAGTGAAAATAACCAAAACTTAGGAAGGTTTAGAAAATCTGTATTTACATACACTAAAGAATGAAATAGAGGCCGGGCATGGTGGTACACACCTGTAATCCCAGCACTTGGGAGGCTGAGGCAGGAGGATCACTGTGAGTTCAAGACCAGCCTGGGCTACAGAGTGAGTTCCAGGTCAGTCTCAACTACATAGTGAGACCCTGTCTCAAAAAAACGAAACAGAACAAAACAAAAGAATGAAATAGAGCTTACTTTATTTGAAAAACAGCAAGAAGTGACAAGAACAGAACAAAGAAAATGTATTCATTTATATTCTTTACATAAGATTCTGGATAAATATTCTAATTAGGCAGCATAAGAAGCCCTGCCTATACCTGGGCCAGCCAATTATGGCCTGTAGGTCAAAGCCCAACTTGCCTATACCTTTTCTTACTGCCTAAGGCTGCTTTTGTGGCAGAGCTAAGCAGATGCAATAGAGACTCTATAGCACACAAATTGGACATATTTACTATATGGTTCTACACAGAAAAGGTATACAGAAAAGATTCTATACAGAAAAGGTAATGGATCCCCAGCATCTCTCCCATCTGCTTGGGAAATCCTATTCTTCAAGTTAACATCATGCACACTAGAAAAGCAGTAAACTACCAAGAAAAAAGACAAAGGAAGTTCATTAAGGGGACAAGCACTTTTGTTTCTTACCTTCTCACCTAATATATTTTACAGTGATATAACTAGTGTCTTCAGAATGCCAATGAGATGCTTGCTTCAGCCACACAAAAAGTAACTCTTAAATATACACATCTCTGGGGATCTTACTCCTCTTTTCTGGCATTTGTATCTCTCCCTGGGCTAAGGATATAAACAGCCCATTAAAAACAAATGGAAGAAAAGGTCTCTTTTGTGGGCCCATTGAAACTTACCTTCGGCAAAGAGAATACATCCTGTTGGAGGCAGTGATTCGGAAATACTCTGGTTTTGAACGGGATGAGGTGCCACTTATGGTTCCCAAACCCAACCGCTGATAGTCTCTGAAACAAGCTTTTTCCACCAACTGTTCCATTGTAGATTTCTCTGAGGCCTTCAGGGTACTTGTGGGGAGTTCACTATCATCTGAAACTGTAATGATGGCAACTGCTTTTACAGAAATAGCTCAAAGTAAAGGATTAAATTTTCTTTGGAAGAGAATGTCTACTTTAGGGTGACAGGTATTATATGTATCACAAACTAAGTGGTAACTATGAGTAATCATAAAACAGCAGTGGACAGTCAGGTCATAAAATATCAGTAACTCAATTAAAAATGTCAGGAATAACACCATTTAAATAATTCATTAGTATAATTTTGAATTTGTTACCCATATTTTTATGTGCCAATTGGCTTGCTTATTAATGTCCCAATGCAGTGATTTCAATATAAGACTACAAAAACACTCAAACATTGTCAGAAGCCTATTTGTCAGTAAAATTTACTTTGTTTTATTTTTTTGGTACAGGGGGTTGAACTTAGTGTCTTTACACTGAGCTATATCCCCAATCCTTTTTAAAGGTTGAGACAGCACCTTTGCTAATTTGCTAAATGGTGAGGCTGGGCCCAAACTTATGATCTTTCTGCCTCAATCTTCCAGTGCTGGGATTACATGTGTATACCATCACACTCAGCTAAAATTTATCTTTAGTATGATCACAATATAAATTTATCATCTAGTTTTTAGCTTACTCTCAGAGTATACATTTTTATTAGAAAATTTATAGATTAACAAGAAGCTCATTAGAGGGAAAAAGCCCTTTTAAAAAAGATGATCTGAAACAGTTATACTCTTTTTCCTAGAAATATTTTTGTTTGAAGATGTGGTTTATATGGAAAACCTCCTCACGGTTTTGCAATCACAGGTTACATATTCCTTTAGCTTTTAGATGTGGAAAAATTTACTCAATAATCAAATATTTTAGGGAGGACTTTTTTAAAAGGACATTCCTAATTAGTACTGCATGTTCTAACAAAAAAAATCCCATGTTAAAAATCATCCTAATTTACTTTTATTGTTAATAAGACAGAAGTCAAATTTAACTTTTAAAGTTTTTGGAAATGTACTCAAAGTACTAATGTACAAGGTAAAAATAGGGCTCTCTTCTATTAAAGTTAAAAAGAAAAAAAATCAACAGATTATCTCTACAGATATCTTTCTATTTCAATTTGTGAGCTTCACAATGTAACATAACCAGGTATCAGTTTTATGTTGGCCTTCTATTTGTAGAGGTACAAAGAACAGAACATTATATAATTTGGTCTTTCATAGTTTTTCTCTTTTTTTTTTGTTTTATTTTTTGGTATCAGGGATAGAACTTGGGCCCTTGTGCTTGCAGGATAGGCTGTGGAACCACTGAGTCAAACCTCCTGCCCTCTTTCATAGTTTTTTTGAGATAGGGTCTTGCTATGTTTTCCAGGCTAGCTTTGAACTGTGGAGCTGAAGAGCTCCTTGTGCTTCAGCGTCCCAAGTGGCTGGGACTGTAAGTGCATGTCAATGGGTCCAGTTATAGAATGGTTTTAGTCCGTGAAATCCTAAAAACTTCAAAAACTAGTCAGTACAAATGGATAGCATTCATTTTATAGCTTTATATGACTGTGAGGAGGCCAGGGTTCCAACAAATGGTAGCTTCAGTAATGGAATGGTGGGTCTTTTCATTGCCATCAGAGTTGAGTTTGTACTGTATGTACTTCTTCTCACACAGGGTATGCATACATAAACACAAAACTGCATCGGTTCTTTATACTGGTGAATTGAAATGGAGACCTTTAGCCTGTGCCCTCACTGAAGATGAAGTTTCTTTTAAAATAGTGTTTTTGTTACAGCTAGTAGTTGTTGTATAATCATTAGTAACTAAAACTAAGATCATGACAAAGAAAAGGATGTAAGTACATTGTACCTCACATTACATATATCACATTCTCTGTAGTGTTCCATAGCATACTAGTTAGTGATAGGGAAAACTTTAATAGCGAAAACCTAGGAAATGTCACAGTGTAAGATAACTTCTGCCCTTTGCTCTGTTTAGTTCAGAATTAACCGGCACTAGAGGCGTCTAGTCTGCCTAAAAAGTTTTGTAAATGAAAAGAACCACAGTGAGCTTTGTTAACCAAACACACTCCCTTTCCCTTGGCTAGAACAGATAAATCTTAAAGGTAACTTCCCCTAATAAAGAATGAAATTCAACTGCCTGCCACCATGTTTTGGGTATCAGCAATGTGAACTGTGAAAATGCAATGTAACCAACTTAATAAGATCAAGGCTGTAAAACCCTATTAAAGAAGGAGTTGTAACCCAATGGGGGAGTCGACACTGCCATTAGGTGTCATTGATCCCCATTGATGGGAGTATGGGAGTAAACTTTTTAATTTTACTTCCATTCTGCTGCCTCTGTGTATCACTTGCCAATTCCTTCCATAACATTAGATAACAGGTTAAGCACAGGAAAAAAAAAATTCATTCAATAAGGCATTTTGTTAATTGGTTTTCTTCCTTGTATTTTCCCAACTGAGAAGTATCTCAGCTGCCTAAATTCTATTGTCTTAAATAGCAGGTGTCTTTTTCTTATTTAAGAATTCTTTCATCTTAGGCTCCCCATTTTAAGAGGCCGCAGAATGTTCTTACCAGAAATCCCAAACTTCAACTTTAAATAGTCAATGTCCTTATTCCCTTACTTTTAATGTTACAATAAGGTACATGGACTACCCTATAATTAAATTTCCTGTGCAGTGGAATTTCTTTCTTTCTCCCTTAAATAAGACCTACCTAGAAAAACTTTCCAAATACTGTTATCTGTTTACCCTTTTCTTTTTAAAGTTTTGAATATTTTACAGCAATGACAAAATCCATGATAACTTGGAGTCCAGCATTCCTCATCAATCACTCATTGTAACTTGTAGTAAAATAAATAAGGATAAGAAGCAGAGATCACTAATAATAAAGACCCACAAAAAATTGGCCAACGTGAATTTAAGACTTTTATCTAAACAATAAAGTAGTAGAAAAATAATTTTTTTCTAGTCATGAGAAGCTGGTAAACATTTCCAAATTTCTAGTGAGATCCTGGGTTTTGGGCATCAATGTTTAAGTACTTTAGGTAGTGCTGGGCGTCATGACACATGCCTGTAGTCTCAGCATTTGGGGAGTTGAGGCAGGAGGACCTCTGTGAGTTTGAGGTCAGCCTGGACTACACATGGCAAGGCCTGTTCTCAACAAAATAAAACAACTTCCCCCCAAACTGCAAACAACAATAACAACAATGGGTTTTAAATGCAGCTATGTCTTATTTTATTTTTACTCATATAAGAATAAAATCGATTCATGAGAAGTTAATTCTCACATACCAGATATGTCATCGTCTTCATTCCATCCAGGACGATTTACTCTCTCTTCTACAATTGTTCCTGTCCTCCTCTTCAATAAATATTGTCGCCCAATTGTCATTTTCCCTGCCCTTTTGGCACCTTTCACGATTGTTTTTGAGAAGGTACTACAAGTTATAAAACCAAAGAGAAATATCAATTTAATATGAAGGTATCACTTACATTTTTGAGACCTACACAGCTCCATTTTTTGTTTCCATTTCCACAAGTCATAAGTATAGCTTATACCAGTGATGGCGAACATTTTAGAGCTTTCAATGATAGAAACAGCCTGCTGTGCACGTGGGCCATGGTTCACCACCACTGGTATAGAACGTGATACTGTGCAAACTTTCTTCAGATCACTTAAAAAAAAATTTTTTTTTGCAGTACCGGGGATCAAACTCAGGAAAGGTCCTGTTTTTGAGGCAGGCGCAGTGCCACTGAGCTAAATCCCCGGCACCTTAGGTCACTTTTTTGTGGCAGCAGACTAATTTCTACAAAACACCAATGTCACCAGGATACTGTTTTAAACATGAAATATAACAAAATAAAGTGAAACATAAGCTACATATAACCCAAATCTAAACTCCTTGGTTTAGTGTCTTGGTCAAGCACACCCCAGAGCCCATTACAGGTATTAGTGCCACTGTCTCCTCAACAGTCCTCACAAATCATGTTTCAGAAGTCTTCCCAAAATGGAAAGCTAGACTTCTCCCTTTTCTACTGATTCAAACTCTCTTTGGAGTCAACAATGACAGTTGGGAACATTTTGATTTATTTCTTAAACATTTTAAGCATGTATGTCTGGAGTCCTGCCTTGAATTAGCAATAAATTTTCTAAGGTATAGAAAAAGAATATTCTCCCTTCTGAGAGAATAAATAAAACACAAATGAGTATTTTTAGCTTAAATTTAATGGGAAACTACAATGTAAATTACTTGGACCCAAAAGTATATTATTTATTCAGGTAGTTTTTCTCAAAGATAGAAAATCTAGGTATACAGTGTTTTTATCCAGAGAATTAAACAAAGAAGCTGCTTTTCTGATTAATCTCACAGAAGCGAAGATTTGGAATAAAAATTGTTTTTTGATATTTTCTTCTCTAACACAAAGAATTCTTTTTGTGTATTTTTGGTCATCTGTAGTACAAACCTGAATGACATAGAATACATTTTAGATATGTTAGGAATTATAAAATATAGATATTTCCTAAATTAAATCTACTGTAAATCACTTCATATATAATTTAAACTGAGTATAGTTTTGAAAAAATTTCCAAGCTAGAGCTATAACCTTTCTTTTCATATACTCAAGGTAATTCTAAATATTTTTAAATTGCTCTCTTTCCACACAGCTGATGTACAATAGGCTTGGTACTGATATTTCTTTTTCTTTTTCTGGTATTGGGGATAGAACTCAGGACTTTGTGCTTACATGACAGGCACAGTGCCACTGAGCTAAATCTCTGGCCCTGATACTTCTAAACTAATATAAATACTTACATTTCTAATAGTTTCTAAACCTAAAACACTATACCAAGTTTTGTATCTTCCATGGAGGCTGGAATAAGAAACATCACAGGATTCTTTGTGAGCCTAAAGCACTAAGATGTTTTTCTCACTCATAAATCCCAAGGAAGCTGTTCATGCATCAGAAAATCATAGCTTGATATCCATGGTCCCTTCACTCACCAGGTAATATAAGTTTCTAGCTGTGCAACTGGAAAATGAAGTACTCAAATCCCCTATAACCACCAATCTACTCCAACTTCAGGCAAAAAGTCAGCAAACTATTTCTGATGTATAATTTGTATTGGCAGATGTTCACATTCTAGGTGATTAATGGTGTATGAATTAAAATGGTCATACTTATATTTTATCATAGATGGAAAAGAATTTAAAAGAACTGTTATTTTGTAATAACTGAAATGTAAGAGTTTCAACATAAATTCCTAGAAACTTTCATCAGAATAAGAATTCACATGACAACTAAATACAATGCTTGATTATGGATCAGGGAAAAAACAAGTAAGTACAATCATCAATAAAATTTGAATGGATTCTGGGTTAGATAAAAGTTTTACATCATTTCCTTGTTTTTATTACTGTACTATGACAACATGAAATAATGTCTTTGTTTTTAGAAAATGTGTATTGATAAAAAAGGATAAAGAGGCATTTTTTATTTAACCCAAATGGTTCAGAAATTATAAACACACATGAGAGAGAGAGTCAGAGAGAGAGAGAGAGAGAGGAGAGCGTGAGAATAAATAATAAAACAAATGACCAAAGTAGAGACTGCTGGTTAATGTGGATAAAGTATACACAGGAATTATTTGAGTAGGGTAAATTCTTTTGGCAGGGTGTACCGGGATTCGAATTTGGGACCTTGAGTTTGCAAGGCAGGCAGTGGAATGACTGAGGTAAATCCCAGGCCCAAGTGTAAATTTTTTACATTTAAAATTATTCAAAATAAAAAGATAAAAAAGAAAAGAAAATAAAGACTTCTATTTCAGGAACATAGCCAAACTGTACACTTGGCCAAAAGCTGAGGGACTGCTCAAAGGCAAGTAGAAAGAGATTAGAGTTATGATTTTTTTTTTTTTGGTACTTGGGATCGCACTTGTGAGGCAGGCAGTGGAACCACTGAGCTAAATCCCTCACCCAGAAAGAGATCAGAGTTAGAAAGAGATTAATGAGGAAAACAAAAAGAATTTCACATTCTAAAAATGCATCATTAGCAATGGACATGATAGTCAAAGCTTTTTATAGCTTTCAGATTTTGAAGCTTATTACACATATCAATGTCACTGTTCTTATGTTGTTGCCCCAGTGGTCTTGACAGAATGACACAAAAGGAGCAATCATTCACACCTTGACACAAAAGCTAAGTCACTTCCTCTGACAATCAATTACAGGAGGGCTGAAATTAAGAAACTGGGTCTTCTTACCGAAAGGAAGTATTCTTTTCTTTCTGTTTAGGTAAAATTATTTGTGGGGTGGTTTGTCCAGTAGCAAAAGCGAAGGTGCTGAAAATGGACTGAGGATAACGGAACTTCATTAGCTGTTTCTTAAAGATCTCTACTACTTCTGGACTGACTTCCTCATCAAATGCTACTTTAATCAACTAGAAACAAAAGAGATTAATTACATCAGAAGCACTAAGAATTTCCAGATAACTTTCCCCCAAATTATTAAAAACAACAACAACAACAACAAAAAAACTCAGAAAAAATTTATAATACTAAATGGAAAGATTTTGGAGAATGTAGGAACTTTGGATAACACAATACAATTAAACATTTTAAAGTAAAAAAGCGAGGCTCTAAAAAGTTTACTTGCCATATATGGTTAGTTGGCAAGAAACAATCACAATCTTGAAGTTGAGCTTCTTTTCTATGATAACTATCTTTGCTATGATGGGATTGGGAATTAAAATGTAGTAGCTGATGTGGCAAGCATGCCCTTTCCATTTCTCAATTGTTGGTTGTAGACCAGGAATTTGGACTAAAAAAGTCACTTCTTAGCCTGGGAGACAAAAATTCTAGGAAGAAAAACTATCAGGTTAACTAGAATCCTAACCAGTACAGACAGACAATATTTGAATGTAGAGTTCTTTGGCATTTAGATCAGTGGAGAAATCCCTAAGCAGCCAATATTTTCACATGATGTGTGAAGGTATGAAGTTTACAGAGCACCAACCTCACATTTAATAAAATTAGCATAGGAGTCTAGGGAGGGCTCCTTGTCTAGAAATAATGAGGCAAGAATTGGAAACCTTAGAAATCTGAGAAGTCAGAGACAAGGCATGAAGAATAGGAAAAGCAACATATTATAGTCTGAACTAAGAAAAGGTTGCTTCTTTCAGAGTCGGGCATCAGTAATTTTATAAGTTCTGATTGTTCACAGCTCTCTGGAAAAATCCCTCAATTTATCAAGAGCTACTCAATTAGTACCAAAGGACATTAGTCCTTGCTGTACTTCTTAAGAGTTTTATCTCTTTCACAGAAGAGCCATACAGCATTTCTTTCTGAGACTAAGAGAGCTGTTTTTTTTTGTTTGTTTGTTTTAAAATCTAAAGTTTTTATTCTGCAGGAACTGAAGTTTAACTTGGTAGAAAGCAAGTACCACTATATGTCCGAGTTTCTAAATACTGACAGACAATCCACTGGTACTCTGCGTTGGTTAAGGAGTTCATGAAGTGAAGGATTAAATCCAAAACTATTTATGAGTTCACTCAGCTCACTCAGTTCACTCCCAGACATTCTGATCTTCATCTTCTAACTTCTGACTCCATGACCAAGGAAAGTAGTCACAAAATCATTAGATTTGCAGAAAACTTTTTAATACTAGGAGAGGGCCTTCCTTTCTTAATACAGGTTGATCATATCTAAAATCCAACAAATACTTTGAAATCCAAAACTTCAGTGCTCAAAAGTTATGGATTTTGGAGGGATTTGGATTTTACATTTTTTAATTAGGGATACACAATTGGTAAGTCTATGGAAATATTCTAAAATCTGAAAAACTTCTAATCTGAAATTCTTCTGGTTCCAAGCATTTCAGACAAGTGATCCTCAAACTATACCTGAAAAGATGCTGATGTAATCTGCAATCCTTCTTGCATGTTCTGTTGTAGTTGGTTCTGAATTGTGATCTTTTTCTCCTTGGTAATGGAGGCGATGGGGAAGCTCCGCACAATTGTCTGTTCACCAACTGCAGAAGGACAGGACACAGCAACAGCACTTTATAACTGATATCTACACTCTGATGAAGAAATGTATCTGCAGAGAAAATGCCAAGATTCCAGAATCCCACTAATTAATTTTATTGCATGGCAATTCACTCCTGAGAGATAATCTTTTCCCAGAATGAGAGGAACTGTCACAACCTTTCTGCCTTTATTCTATCTCACGAACTTACACGCTACACAAGATCACCTGCCTTAAGGCAATCTTACCTTAAGGGTAAGCTTTATACAGACAAAAAAGTATCCTCAAATACTGAAAATATATCCAAGATATTTAATGTAAAGATAAAGCAAAAGAGAACAGGCTTCTAAAGTTTGTTTCTGTGGAGAGATAGATCCTTTGCAAAAGACAAGGGTATCAAGAAATGGAGGGAGAGGGTGGGAAAGGGAGAACAGACAAAAGAATTAAGATATTTTATGTACATATACAAACTCCCCTGATGAATGTAATCATTATGTACTGCAACATGTACTAATAAAAACAAAACTTAAAAAAGAAAGTTTGCTTACGTAGTAAAAAATAGCTGCACTGTGTACGTAAGCCTTCAAAAGACAGGACTAGACTTAAGCTCAAGATTTTTAGGAATGTAAATATTAAAGCAAAGTGGAAAAATATCAACTACCTGAGGATATAAAGATAAGAGTCCAGAAAAGAAGTAGCACATACAGCCTCCCTGGAACAGCATCCAGTTTACCACAGGAGGAGAGTCACCTGCAGAATTCAGTGTGTGATTAGCTCCTAGGTTTTAGGGAACAGAGTTTCAAGACATTGAATATTTCAGAAAAGGAGATGATCTCCATATGCTAGATGAATAGAAAATGATTTCCAGATGAAGTGGGAGGGAAGGTGAGCTTTGAAGACAGGGTAGGATTTGAATTCACAGAAGGGAAGAAGGAGGGCATTTCAGGCAGTGGAACAGGTAATGTACCAAAAGCAGCAATGAATAAAACCTCATATCCAGTAAGCCAGAGGGGGTAAGATTTGAAGTAGATTTACCCAATATGTTTATCCACTTATTATCATCACAGGTTCTCATTTCCTTAACCTGAAAAATCCTATCTTCCTATATAAAGCTCATACCCAGAGGCTTAACAAAGTCAAGATGACAGAGGATTTAAGTTCTAGGATGTTTTAGGCAACTTATGCTTATATAACACATGTAAGACTATCAGATTTCTATGTATTATATTAAAGGAGAGATTTTAAATTAGAAATTTTAAAAAAGTAAAAATTTTATATGACAAAAAGATTTTTTGTAAAATGTGATGCAAACTCAAAATATGAAAGGAAAAAAAATCAAGAGAGCAATATGAATTTTTATACTAAGCCTGGATTTTTCTTTAAAAAAATAAATTATAACAATTGAAATGACCACACAATTATCTCTTGTTTATAGGTCCAAAATGTGTATTTTCCATTAATCTAACAAAAGTCCTACAAGTCCTAAAAAAACCCCATATATATTGAAGATCGGGTGCTCAAAAGGTTTTGGATTTGGGAGCATTGTGGATTTAGGGTTTTCGATTAAGGCGGCTCAAGCAGTAAAGCATATGCAAATCTTTCAAAATGTAAAAATTCTAAAATCTGGTCCCAAACATTTTAGATAAGGGATACTCAATCTGTACTGTATATTTAGTTTCTTTTAAATACAACTGTAATTTTAAATACAAATATAATTTATGTATAAGCAATATACCAAGGGGACCAAGCAGTTTTCTTCCATTTTTCATTTATCAAAAATGAGCACAACTATTCCTATGAATTCATCTTTACTAAAATTTATGAGTTTTTGCTTACTGTATGGTAAGCAATCTTTTACAACCAATATACTAAAACCATGTTGAGCCTATCCAATTTAGGAATAACATAACTGTTAAGATTTAAAGAAGGGGAAATTTCAAAGATAAATGAGGAATGAATATATCTCATAATATTGGATAAATCAGATATGTTATTATATAGGTTGCATTGTATCCTTCCAAATTCATATGTAAACACATTAACCCCAACGTCTTTTAGAAAGTGGTGATCAAGGTTAAGATTTAAAAGTTCATACATTTTTTAGGGCTGGGGATTTAGCTCAGCAGTTCAGTGGCCTGCCTTGCAAGCGCAAGGACCTGAGTTTGATCCCTGGTACCAAAAAAAAAAAAAAAAAA